GACCGGGTTTAGACCGGGTTTAGACCGGGTTTAGACCGGGTTTGGACCGGGTTTAGACCGAGTTTAGACCGGGTTTAGACCGAGTTTAGACCGGATAGAGACCGGGTTTAGACCGGATAGAGACCGGGTTTAAACCGGGTTTATTTGGGTTTCGACTTTATTATATTATCATAATAATGTCTTATGATAAATGGCCTTTTCCCGGTCGTTCTTCTCTCGTTGGCGGATTATTGGATTATTGGATTATTGGATTATTGGATTATTGGATTGTTGGGTTATTGGATTATTGGATTATTTGATTATTGGATTATTGGATTATTGGATTATTGGATTATTGGATTGTTGGGTTATTGGATTATTGGATTATTGGATTGTTGGGTTAGACTCCTGTAGCCACAGCTGCCCTGGGGCAGACTGACCACCAACACACACACCACACTTATATTAGGAAATGTGTCTTGCCTAAGGACACAATGACAGTCTGAACTGGAGCCTCTGCTGCCCTGAAATGTGTTTTTTTCCCCATAGATTTATTTATTTTTGTTTGTTTGTTTTTCGTAGATATAAAGTGACTTATAAAAAAGAAACAGGCGAGTGCCGTCTGGAGATTTCCATGACCTTTGCCGATGACGCCGGAGAATATTCTGTGACCGCCAAGAACCAGAAAGGAGAAGTGACCGCCTCCGCCAGCCTGCTGGAGGACGGTACGGAGGGCCGGCGTTAGTCCGGCTTTAGTTCTGGTTTAGTTCTGGTTTAGTCCTGATTTTTTAACCGTGTTCTTTGCCCACACAGAGGAATATGACGCTTACATAAAGAAACAAGAAGAAGCCGCCAAACCAGTGACAGTGCCAAGCCCCGCCCCCGCGGAGACCGCCGTGATCACCGGACAGGTACCACCCACCTGGACTAAACCTGGACTAAACCTGGACTAAACCTGGACTAAACCTGGACTAAACCAGGACTAAACCAGGACTAAACCAGGACTAAACCTGGACTAACCCAGCCCGGTAGTTTCCATCTCTGTGGTGTTTCTTCAGGAGTTCCAGTTGTCCGTGATGGAGATGCGCTTCATCCTGGAGGTGGAGACTCGTCTCATGAAGTTCACGTATTCAGATCTGCTCTCTCAGGACGGGCAGGAGCCAGAACCCGCCGCGCCCGGAGACCCGGCGCAGCCACACTTCACCGCCACCGTCAAGAACTATCGCATCAGAGCCGGCATGGGCGCCACCTTCCACTGCCAGGCCCAGGGCAACCCCAGACCCAAGGTGAGACCGGGACCAGACCAGGTTTAGACCAGGCCCAGGGCGACCAAAGGTGAGACCAGGGCTGAACCTGAGGTGAGACCGGGTTCAGACCAGGTTCAGACCAGGTTCAGATCAGGTTTAGACCTGTAAAGTCCTTTAAGCTCTAATGTGCTCCTGCGTTAGTTCCTCTGTTCCTGTTTCTGTTTAAAGCTTCAGACCCTGTTTTTGTAAGTTTAATCCTTGCTTCAGTCCTGGTCCAGTCCTGTATTAGACCCTGGTTTAGTCCTGGTTCTGTCTGAGCCTCCTGTGCCCTCTTCTCTCAGATCACCTGGTACCGAGACGGGCAGAGGCTGCATCCTTCCGACCGGTACCACATGGATGTTTTGGCGGACGGGAGGGCGAGTCTCCGCCTCCCGGCCGTTACCCCCGACGACCAGGCCGTGTACTCCGTCCTGGCCTCCAACGCCTCCGGGAACGTCATCTGCTCTGGAAAACTCTACGTAGAACCAGAAACCCGACCAGGACTGGCCCCCCAGCCGGCCCTACAGAGGATCAGGTACAGACCGTGTGGACCAGGTTTAGACCTGGTTTAGGTCCTTGTCTTGCAAAGCCTTCTGAATAGATTTTTATATCTTGAATATTTAGCCGAATGTGATTGAGTGAAACATGAAACTGCGTCTCTGACGAGCAGAACATTCAGGTTACAACTGTAGTTTTCTTCTTCCTGTGGAATTAAAGCATAAGAAAGAGTCCAGCTCTAATAATCACCAAACGGTGTCACCAAACAAACGGTGTCACCAAACAAACGGCGTCACCAAACAAACGGTGTCACCAAACAAACGGCGTCACCAAACAAACGGCGTCACCAAACTGTGTCAGAGTTCAGTGTTTCTCTTGTCTACGTTCCTCTGACGGTTCCTCGATGGAGATGTAACCAGATGCATCTCGCGGTACAATATTTATTCCGAGTTTAACAAAACTGTGAATATGTGAGTTTTTCCTTTAAAAACTGGTTCTGTCATAAACCAAAGACTTAGATTTCAAAGGCTGCACTGACACAGAGCAAAGGATCATGGTCTATGTAGTTCCCTCTAGCAAAGAGACTTTACGATATATTGTAATGGCCACGATATTATTGTCAGACATTTGACGATATTTTGATATCTTGATATTTCGATATTGTTCCACTCCTGTTCCTCACTGTGATGTGTTTGCTCGGTCTCATGTTGGTGTGGTCCTCTCTTTGGGCGAGTCCCTAACCCTGCCCCCGTCCTCTCCTCAGCTCGGCGTCCCCCAGAGCCGTCAGCCTTTCCCCCGGCCGCTCTCCCGCCCGCTCCCCCTCTCGCTCGCCCGGGCGCTCTCCCGCCCGCAGACTGGACGAGACCGACGAGGCCGCGCTGGAACGACTCTACAAACCCGTGTTTGTGATGAAACCCGCCTCTGCCCGCTGCTCCGAGGGCCAGACCGCCCGCTTTGACCTCAAGGTGGTGGGGCGCCCCATGCCCGAGACGTACTGGTTCCACAACGGTGAGAAAGACCTGGATTAGACCTGGACTAGACCTGGATTAGTTCTGTTTTAGTCCTGGTTTAGTGTTAGTTTGGACGAACTCTTTTATTTGCTGACGTTTCTCATTTTTAAACGTGACGTCTGAACCGTGTTGTTCCCCTCCAGGCCAGCAGGTGGTGAGTGACTACACTCATAAGATCGTGGTGAAGGAGGATGGCACTCAGTCTTTGATCATCGTTCCTGCGGCGCCGCACGACGCCGGCGACTGGACTGTGGTGGCACAGAACCGTGCTGGACGCAACTCTCTGTCTGTGACCCTCACTGTGGATGGTGAGAGCTGGGGAGGGCATCTGGGGCACGGGGAGGGCATCTGGGGCATTGGAAGGGCATCTGACATTATGGTTGTGCGGTTACAGTGAAGGAGACCCTGGTGCGGCCTCAGTTCACGGAGAAACTGAGGAACCTGAGCGTGAAGGAGGGCAGCCTGGTGGAGCTGGCAGTGAAGGCCATGGGCAACCCTCTGCCCGACATCGTGTGGCTCAAGAACAGTGACATCATCACGCCGCACAAGCACCCCAACATCAGGTATGACATCATCACGCCACACACACCCCAACATCAGGTATGACATCATCACACCGCACACACCCCAACATCAGGTATGACATCATCACACCGCACACACCCCAACATCAGGTATGACATCATCACACCGCACACACACCCCAACATCAGGTATGACATCATCACGCCACACACACCCCAACATCAGGTATGACATCATCACACCGCACACACCCCAACATCAGGTATGACATCATCACGCCACACACACCCCAACATCAGGTATGACATCATCACGCCGCACAAGCACCCCAACATCAGGTATGACATCATCACACCGCACACACCCCAACATCAGGTATGACATCATCACGCCACACACACCCCAACATCAGGTATGACATCATCACACCGCACACACCCCAACATCAGGTATGACATCATCACGCACACACATCAGGTATGACATCATCACGCCACACACACCAACATCAGGTATGACATCACACACACATCAGGTATGACATCATCACGCACACACCCCAACATCAGGTATGACATCATCACACCGCACACACCCAAACATCAGGTATGACATCATCACGCCACACACACCCCAACATCAGGTATGACATCATCACACCACACACACCCAACATCAGGTATGACATCATCACGCCACACACACCCCAACATCAGGTATGACATCATCACGCCGCACACACCCAAACATCAGGTATGACATCATCACACGCACACACCCCAACATCAGGTATGACATCATCACGCCACACACCCCAACATCAGGTATGACATCATCACACCGCACACACCCCAACATCAGGTATGACATCATCACGCCACACACACCCCAACATCAGGTATGACATCATCACGCCACACACCCCAACATCAGGTATGACATCATCACGCCACACACACCCCAACATCAGGTATGACATCATCACACCGCACACACCCCAACATCAGGTATGACATCATCACGCCGCACACACCCCAACATCAGGTATGACATCATCACGCCACACACCCCAACATCAGGTATGACATCATCACGCCACACACACCAACATCAGGTATGACATCATCACGCCACACACACCAACATCAGGTACGACATCATCACACCACAATTTTTTTCATTTTTCTCTCAAATTTGACTCATTTTTTTCACTTTTCATATTATTTACGACAGTTAATTTTACACTTCACGTCACATCAGTGCGCCGTCTGTGCGCCGCATAAACATCTGGACAGGAAACTGTAAAGTATCTGAAATCTAATTTTAATCCCCCCCCGCCCCCTCGCCCTCTCGCCCGCAGAGTGGAGGGCACACGTGGAGAGGCAAAGTTCCAGATCCCGTCGGCGGTGGGCACAGACAGCGCCTGGTACACGGCCACGGCCATAAACAAAGCCGGGCGCGACACCACCCGCTGCCGAGTGAACGTGGAGGTGGAGCAGGCCGAACCGGCGCCAGAACGCAAACTCATCATCCCCAAAGGGACGTACCGCGCCAAAGACATTGCTCCGCCGGAGGTGGAGCCTCTGCACCTGCGCTACGGCCAGGACCAATGGGAGGAGGGCGACCTGTACGACAAAGAGACCCAACAGAAACCGCAGTTTAAGAAGAAGCTCACGTCCGTGCGCATGAAGAAGTTTGGCCCCGCCCACTTCGAGTGCCGCCTCACGCCCATCGGAGACCCCAACATGGCGGTCGAATGGCTGCACGACGGGAAACCGCTCGCCGCCGCCAACCGCCTACGAATGATCAACGAGTTTGGATACTGCAGCCTGGACTATGATGTAAGGAGGAGGAAATTAGTCCTGGTTTAGTCCTGGTTTAGTTCTGGTTTAGTTCTGGTTTAGTCCTGGTTTAGTCCTGGTTTAGTCCTGGTTTAGTTCTGGTTTAGTCCTGGTTTAGTCCTGGTTTAGTCCTGGTTTAGTCCTGGTTTAGTTCTGGTTTAGTCCTGGTTTAGTCATGGTTTAGTCCTGGTTTAGTTCTGGTTTAGTCCTGGTTTAGACCTGGTTTAGTCCTGGTTTAGTTCTGGTTTAGTCCTGGTTTAGTCCTGGTTTAGACCTGGTTTAGTTCTGGTTTAGTCCTGGTTTAGTCATGGTTTAGTCCTGGTTTAGTTCTGGTTTAGACCTGGTTTAGTCCTGGTTTAGTCCTGGTTTAGTCATGGTTTAGTCATGGTTTAGTTCTAGTTTAGTCCTGGTTTAGTTCTGGTTTAGACCTGGTTTAGTCCTGGTTTAGTCCTGGTTTAGTTCTGGTTTAGTCCTGGTTTAGACCTGGTTTAGTCCTGGTTTAGTCCTGGTTTAGACCTGGCTTAGTCCTGGTTTAGTCCTGGTTTAGTCCTGGTTTAGACCTGGTTTAGTCCTGGTTTAGTCCTGGTTTAGTCCTGGTTTAGACCTAGTTTAGACCTGGTTTAGTCCTGGTTTAGTCCTGGTTTAGACCTGGTTTAGTCCTGGTTTAGTCCTGGTTTAGACCTGGTTTAGTTCTGGTTTAGTCCTGGTTTAGTCCTGGTTTAGTTCTGGTTTAGACCTGGTTTAGTCCTGGTTCAGTCCTGGTTTAGTTCTGGTTTAGTTCTGGTTTAGTTCTGGTTTAGACCTGGTTTAGTCCTGGTTCAGTCCTGGTTTAGACCTGGTTTAGACTTGGTTTAGTCCTGGTTCAGTCCTGGTTTAGACCTGGTTTAGACCTGGTTTAGTCCTGGTTTAGACCTGGTTTAGTCCTGGTTTAGACCTGGTTTAGTCCTGGTTCAGTCCTGGTTGTGTTATTGTTATTCTGTGCCCTCCGCAGGTGGCATATGCCCGGGACAGCGGTGTCATCACCTGCAGAGCCACAAACAAGTTTGGAGTGGACCAAACGTCTGCCACCCTCATCGTGAAGGACGAGAAGGGGCTGGTGGAGGAGTCGCAGCTGCCCGACGGGCGAAAGGTGGCGCGCATGGAGGAGATGGAGAAACTGGCACACGAGGGCGGTCCGTACGGCGTCACCGCGGAGGAGCCCACCGAGAAAGCTCACCCTGAAATCGTCCTGGTACCAGAGTCCGTGCAGGTCCTGGAGGGAGACACGGCCCGCTTCAGGTACTGAGGGAGGGCACCTGACACACGGGGAGGGCACCTGACACACGGGAGGGCACCTGACACACGGGGAGGGCACCTGACACACGGGGAGGGCACCTGACACACGTGGAGGGCACCTGACACACGGGGAGGGCACCTGACACACGTGGAGGGCACCTGACACACGGGGAGGGCACCTGACACACGGGGAGGGCACCTGGCACACGGGGAGGGCACCTGACACACGGGGAGGGCACCTGACACACGGGGAGGGCACCTGGCACACGGGGAGGGCACCTGACACACAGGGAGGGCACCTGACACACAGGGAGGGCATCTGACACACGGGGAGGGCATCTGACACACGGGGAGGGCACCTGGCACACAGGGAGGGCATCTGACTCTTGTGTACCCGCAGGTGTCGTGTGACCGGGTTCCCGGCGCCGAAGGTGGACTGGTACCTGAACAGGCAGCTGATCCGGAAAAGCAAACGATACCGACTCAGATACGACGGAATTTATTATTTAGAGATCACAGACGTGAAGTCGTACGACGCCGGAGAAGTGAAGGTACGAGACCTGGTTTAGTCCTAGTTTAGTCCTGTTATAGTCCTGGTTTAGTCCTGGTTTATACCTGGTTTAGGATCATCTAACGTGGCTTGTCCTCCTCAGGTGGTGGCGGACAATAACGTAGGTTGTGTGGAGCACCTGGTGAAGCTGGAGATCCTTCAAAAGGAGGACTTCAGAGGGCACCTGAAACGCGCCGAGGGCAAAGCCGAGGCAGCGCCCACGGAGCCCGGCCGTGTGCCCTTTGAAGTGGTGAAGGCCGAGGCGCCGGGCGAGGACTGGCAGCTCAAGGAGGTGGTAACGCTGAAGAAAGCACAAAGAATCGTTCACGAGAAGGAGACCGAGGAGACTGAGGAACTGAGGAGCAAGTTCAAGCGCAGGACTGAAGAAGGGTACTACGAGTCCATCACCGCCGTGGAACTGAAGAGCCGAAAGAGAGACGAGAGCTACGAGGACCTGCTGAAGAAGACCAAGGAGGAGCTCATGCACCGCAAGAACGTAAGGACCGGGGTAGACCTGGTTTAGTCCTGGTTCAGTCCTGGTTTAGAGCTGGTTTAGTGCTGGTTTAGTCCTGGTTCAGTCCTCACGTCCCTCTGCTCTTCAGGAAAAGGAAGAGGCTGAGAAGAAGAAGGAGGAGGAGCGTCGTAAGATCACGGCCAAAGCCCTCAAACCGGAGCGTGTGAAGCTGTCGGCGAGCATGGAGGCGCCAAAGATCCTGGAGCGCATCACGAGCCAGACCGTGGCCCAGGGTCAGGAGGTCCGATTCCGCGTCCGCGTGGTCGGGCGCCCGGACCCGGAGTGCCAGTGGTTCAAAAACGGCGTCCAGCTGGAGAAGACAAACCGGGTGAGCTGGTACTGGCCCGAAGATCACGTCTGCGAGCTGGTCATCAAAGACGTGAGGGCCGAAGACTCCGCCTCCATCATGGTCAAAGCGATGAGCAAGGCCGGCGAGACGTCCAGCCACGCCTTCCTCCTCGTGCAAGGTGAGGACGCCAGGACGGGTTCGATTGCCATTTCCTCTCCTCTGTCACCTAATGATGCAACGTCAAAAAACGCGCTGGACGCCTCTAGTTGGAGTTTTTGCATTTGAGCTTCTCGAAGGTCCAGGGCGTCGCTGCGGTCGCCGAGTGCCGTGTTTTCCGGAGAGATTTAGTGTTTTTATTACTTAAACTCATCAGTGGAGGCGATCGGCAGTTGTGGCGTGTTTATATTTTTTCTCTATTAAAAACTTGGTGTAGATTTCTTGTTCTGGTGTTTGTGGTTCTCGGGACTGTCTCTTTCTTCTTCTTCCCTGATTGGTCGGCGCGACACGTCCTGTATCAAAAGTTCAGCATTTTCAATTTTCAGAAAATAGAATCCATCCTGTTTTTTGACTCATTCCAAGAGTGTAGGTGTTAAATAACACTGTTATTAGAGTTTTGAAATGTTCTTTGTAAATTCTGATGTTTGCCATTTCAGCCTCTACAGACGTAAACACAAACCTGTTCAGCCGTTAGTTTCACTGGAGACATAAATGTGCCCAGTCCACAGAGCCAGAGCCGGGAGCATCCATCCTGCTGGAGCCGAGCCGCGAAGGCAGGGTTAGGGTCTGGAGCTGCAGTGGCAATGGCTCTGTGTTTCTCTAGTCTAGTTCTGGTTTTTCCCAAGTGAAGCCCTGGTTTAGTCCTGGTCCAGTCCTGGTCCAGTCCTGGTCCAGTCCTGGTCCTGTCCTGGTCCAATCCTGGTCCTGACCCCTCTCTCCTTGTGTCCACAGCCAAACAGGTGATCTCGTTCACGCAGCAGCTGACGGACGTGAACGCCAAAGAGAAGGACACGATGGCGACGTTTGAGTGTGAGACCAACGAGCCGTTTGTGAAGGTCAAGTGGCTCAAAGGAGAAGAGCAGATCTTCTCCGGAGACAAATACCGGATGCACTCGGACAGAAAAGTCCACTTCCTGTCTGTCCTCACCATCGCCATGAAGGACGAGGACGACTACTCCTGCGTCCTGCTCGAGGACGACAGCATCCGCACGACCGCCAGGCTCCACGTGGAGGGTAAGACGGGCATCAAACCCACAACCTGCTCTCAGAGAACAGGAGGGGAACCCTGGTTTAGACTGGGTTTAGTCCTAGTTTAGAGCTGGCTTTGTTCTGGTTTAGACTTGTTTTAGTACCTGTTTTAGACCTGGTTTAGTCCTCTTTTAGACCTGATTTAGTCCTGTTTTAGACCTGGTTTAGTCCTGGTTTAGACCCTCTTCCTGGTCTGTGTCCTCTAGGAGAACCTCTGGAGCTGCTGAAGCGTCTGGAGTCCACTGAGGTTCCTGAGAGCTACAGCGCCGAGTTTGAGTGTGTGGTTTCACGCGAAGACGCAGAGGGGACATGGTTCTTCGGCGAAAAACCCCTGACGCCCAGCGTGAAGTACGTGATGACGTCCAGGAGGGGGCGCCACTCGCTCTCGGTCAAAGACGTCAAGAAGGAAGACCAAGGAAAATACACATTTAAAGTGGGCGAGTTCAGCACCAGCGCCTCGCTCAAGATGAAACGTGAGTCCTGCCCGGGTTTAGACCAAGTTTAATCCTGGTTTAGTCCTGTTGTAGTCCTGGTTTAGTCCTGTTGTAGTCCTGTTGTAGTCCTGGATTAGTCCTGTTGTAGTGCTGGTTTAGTCCTGTTGTAGTCCTGGTCCAGTCCTGGTCCAGTCCGGTCTAACCCTGGTCTCTCTGTGACAGTGCGTCCGGTGACCCTGATGGGTCCACTCTGTGACCTCACGGTGTGCGAGGGCGACATCGCTCAGATGGAAGTTCGATTTTCCCAGGAGAACGTGGAGGGGGTGTGGCTAAAGAACGGACAGCCAATCACAGCGTCCGACCGAGTGCACATGGTCGTCGACAAAACGACGCACAAACTTCTGATTGAAGACACGACAAAGAGCGACCACGCCACATACGGCTTCAACGTCCCGTCGCACGACATCACCAGCAGCGCCAAACTCAACGTACAGAGTAAGAACTACAAATACTACAAGTACTATGAATACTACTAGGAATATTACAAATACTACAAATACTACTAGGAATATTACAAATTGTACAAATACTACTATGAATACTACTACTATTACTACTACTGCTACTACCACTGCGAATACTACTACTACAGTCCTGGTCTAGTCCTGGTCTAACCCAGGTCTTTCTTGCAGCCATCGGGATCCTCAGTCCTCTGAAGGACACGTCGGTGGTCGAGGGCACTAAGTGCGTTCTGGAGGCCAAGATCTCGGCTCAGGACGTCAGTTCGGTGAAATGGTTCCACGGAGAAGTCCAGATCTCAGGGTCAGACCGGATCCAAACTGTGGCCAAAGGAGCCAAGCAGAGACTGGTTCTGAACCGGACCCATGAGTCGGACCAGGGACGGTACCGGCTCCAGGTGGGAAGAGTGGAGACCGCCTGCAACCTGACCGTGCAACGTAAGGACCTATTTAGACCAGTCTAGTCCTGGTTTAGTCCTGGTTTAGTCTTGATCTTGTCCTTATTTAGTCCTGATTTAGTTCTGGTTTAGTCCTGGTCCTGGTCTGATCATGTGTTGTTCTCAGCGGTCAAGATCGTGGTTCCGATGAAGAACCGTGAGTGTTCCGAGTCTGAGAACGTGGTGTTTGAGGTGGAAGTGTCTCACGCCGGAATCGACCCGTTCTGGACGTTTAAGGGAACGCCGCTCAAATCCGGCGCCAAATACAAAATGGAGTCCAAGAAGAAAGTGCACACGCTGACGGTGATGAACGCCATGAAGGACGAAGAGGGCGAGTACGGCTTCGCCGCCGGCGAAAAGACCTGCGCCGCCATCCTCACCGTCACAGGTTAGACTGGCACCTGGCACATCTGCCCGCTCTAACCCCTCTCTCCCTGGCACATCTTTCCGCTCTAACCCCTCTCTCCCTGGCACATCTTTCCGCTCTAACCCCTCTCTCCCTGGCGCAGGTGGTGCCATAAAGAAGCCCCTCAGGGACCTGGTGGTGGCGGACTCGCAGACGGCTGTGTTGGAATGTGAAGTGGCGAACCCTTCGTCCCAGGGCCAGTGGCTGAAGGACGGGACGCCCGTCGACTTCAGTGAAAATGTCCAGAGCCAAACTGACGGCGCTGTTCGCCGACTCGTCATCAGCATCACCAAGGCAACCGACATCGGCGAGTACACTTACCAGGTCGCCACGTCCAAGACGAGTGCCACACTGCGGGTCGAGGGTAAGTCCCGGTTTAGTCCCGGTTTAGTCCTGGTTTAGTCCTGGTTTAGTCCTGGTTTAATCCTCCTCTTCGTCATAGCGGTGAAGGTGAAGAAGACTCTGCGTAATTTGACCGTGGTCCAGACTCAGGAGGCGGTCTTCAGTTTGGAGCTGACTCACGAAGATGTCCGAGGAGCTCAGTGGATCAAAAATGGTGTCGAGCTTGTTCCCGGCGACAAATATGCTATCACGGTGGAGGGTGCCGTCCACACGCTCGCCATCCGCAACTGCACCGCCAACGACGAGTCCGTGTACTCCTTCAAACTCGGCAAACTGTCGGCCAATGCCAGGCTCAATGTGGAGAGTGAGTATGACACACAAACGCACACAAACACAAATAAACGCACACAACGCCAACACCAATGCCAAGCTCAACATGGAGAGGGAGTACTGTTGGTGGGAGGTGTTCCTCAGGATGGTGATGTTGGTGGGAGGTGTTCTTCAGGATGGTGATGTTGGTGGGAGGTGTTCCTCAGGATGGTGATGTTGGTGGGAGGTGTTCTTCAGGATGGTGATGTTGGTGGGAGGTGTTCTTCAGGATGGTGATGTTGGTGGGAGGTGTTCTTCAGGATGGTGATGTTGGTGTTCTTCAGGATGGTGATGTTGGTGGGAGGTGTTCTTCAGGATGGTGATGTTGGTGGGAGTGTTCTTCAGGTGTGATGTGGTGGGATGTTCTTCAGGATGGTGATGTTGGTGGAGGTGTTCTTCAGGATGGTGATGTTGGTGGGAGGTGTTCTCAGGATGGTGATGTTGGTGGGAGGTGTTCTTCAGGATGGTGATGTTGGTGGGAGGTGTTCTTCAGGATGGTGATGTTGGTGGGAGGTGTTCTTCAGGATGGTGATGTTGGTGGAGGTGTTCTTCAGGATGGTGATGTTGGTGGGAGGTGTTCTTCAGGATGGTGATGTTGGTGGGAGGTGTTCTTCAGGATGGTGATGTTGGTGGGAGGTGTTCTTCAGGATGGTGATGTTGGTGGGAGGTGTTCTTCAGGATGGTGATGTTGGTGGGAGGTGCCCTGATCACATGTTCTAACTCCAGCTCTCACCTTCTCAGCCATAAAGATCCTGAAGAAACCCAAAGACGTGACTTCGCTGCTCGGCGCCGCCGCAGTCTTCGAGGTCGGTCTGTCTGAGGACGACATTCCCGTCAAATGGATGTTCAAAAACAAAGAGCTGGAATCCGGAGACTCGTACCGGATCACGTCAGACAAGAAGAACCACAAACTCATTGTCCAGGATGTGGACCGCAGCAAAGAAGGAGAATACACGGCGATAGTGGGACATCTGCGCGCCAGCGCCACCCTCACTGTGGAGGGTAAGTCCAACTGATACTGCAAGTACTGCGGGTACTGCAAATACTACTACTACTACAACTACTAAGACTATTACTACTACTACTACTCTAAACTAGAGTCCAAAACTTTGGTTCTGGTTTAGTCCTGGTTTAGTCCTAACCTCTCTTTCTCCTCAGCCCTGCGTGTGACCAAGCCTCCTCGCCCGGTGGAGATCTTTGAGACTCAGCCGGCGACGCTGGAGGTGGAGGTATCGCACCTGAATGTGCCGTCGCTATGGAAACGAAACGGCACTGAGCTGGAGACCAGTGAGAAGTTCAGGATCAGCAGCTCCGGAAAGTCCCACACTCTGAGGATCATGAACACCTCACGAGAAGATCAGGGAGACTACAGCTTCATCTGTGGCAGTGACAGCGTCAGCGCCAAGGTCACCGTCAAACGTAAGCAGAGGGTTAGACCTGGTTTAGTCCTGGTTCAGTTCTGGTTTAAACCCAGTTTAATCCTGGTTCAGTCCTGCTCTCACCGTCTCCTCTCCTTCAGCGGTGGAGATCACTCAGCCCCTGTCGGACATTAACGCTCAGGCCAAAGACACGGTGACATTTGAGGCGATGGTGAACGTGGAGAACATCTCGTACAGGTGGTTGAAGAACGGTGTGGAGATCCGCTCCACCGACCGATGCCAAGCGCGCTGCAAACAGCTGAACCACACCCTGAGTCTGAGAAACGTGCACTTTGGAGACAACGCTGAATACAGTTTCTGCGCCGGGTCGGCCAAGACCAGCGCCAAGCTGTTCGTGGAGGGTAAGAGAGTTTTCAGCTCGTGTGCTGGAGTTCGGTGTAAGGTCTTTCTCTGGGTTTAGTTTTCATCGTAAACATGATTAAACTCATGTTTTCAGCTCGTGTGGTGGAGTTCACGAAGCAGCTGAAGGACCTGAAGATCACAGAGAAGAAACGTGCCACATTTGAGTGTGAAGTGAACGAACCCAACATCCAGGTCATGTGGATGAAGGACGGACAGGAACTGGAGATGTCCGACAGGTGAGTGAGCGGTTTAGTCTTGGGTTAGTCCTGGTTCAGTCCTGTTTAAATCCTGGTTTAGTCCTGGTTAAATCCTGGTTAAATCCTGGTATAGTCCTGGTTCTGATCTTTGTTCTCCTGCAGGTATAAGATGAGCTCGGATAAGTTTGTGCACAGACTGGTCCTTCCGTCTGTGCGTCTGTCAGACGTTGGCGAGTACACGGCGGTGGCGGGCGCCAGTATGAGCGCGGCTCGCCTCACCGTGGAGGGACGCGACGTCAGGATCAACGAGCCCGCCACGCATGACGTCATCGTGAGTACAGACTTTGCTTTAGTACTGGTTTAGACCTGTTTAGACCTGTTTGAGTTCTGGTTTAGCCCTGGTTAAGTCTTGGTTTAGACCTGGTTTAGTCCTGGTTCAGACCTGGTCTCTGGTCCTCAGGTGGTGGAGAAGCAGAGGGCGAACTTTGAGCTGGAGGTGAGTGAGGAGGAGGTGGAGGGACGCTGGGCGAGAAACGGGGTCCAGATCAACTTTGCGTCTGAGGAACGTCTGAGCTACGTGACCATCCGAAAGCTCCACCGCCTCACCATCTCCGAGACGTACCGCAGCGACGCCGGAACCTACACCTTCTACGCCGGGAAGAACAGCCGCGAGCTCCGCCTCACCGTCAGGCGTGAGTCCTGCTGTAGTCCTGCTGTAGTCCTGCTGTAGTCCTGCTGTAGTCCTGCTGTAGTCCTGCTGTAGTCCTGCTGTAGTCCTGCTGTAGTACTGGTCTTGTCCTGGTTTAGTCCTGGTCTAGTCCCGGTCTAGTCCTGCTGTAGTCCTGGTTTAGTCCCGGTCTTGTTTAGTCTTGCTGTATTCCTGGTTTAGTCCTGGTTTAATCCTGGTTTAGTCCTGGTCTGGTTAAGTCCTGCTGTAGTCCTGGTCTAACCTGGTCCATCTTCTGTCCCAGTCCCGGAGCCTCCAGAGATCGTGAGGCACATGTCGCCCATGGACGTGACGGCGGGGAAGCCCATTCGCTTCTCGGTGCAGGTGGGCGGTCTGCCGGCGCCGCAGGTCACATGGTACAGAGAAGGCTCCTCATTGGAGGCCTCAAACAAAATCAAGTTCATGCACGACGCCAACGAACACACGCTGCTGCTCCTGGAAGTGGCGCCAGAGGACTCCGGGACGTACAGCGCCGAAGCTCGCAACGACTACGGCGAAGCGACGAGCTCCGCTACACTCAACGTCACAGGTGAGACAAGCCCCGCCCCCGTAACACACCTGTACAGGTGAGACAAGACACGCCCCCGTAACACACCTGTACAGGTGGGACAAGACACGCCCCCGTAACACACCTGTACAGGTGAGACAAGACACGCCCCCGTAATACACCTGTACAGGTGGGACAAGACACGCCCCCGTAATACACCTGTACAGGTGGGACATGTACCACACACCTGTATGACCTGAGTATGATATGTGTGACTCAAATACTTGTAGTATAAATACTGTAATATAATTTAGAGTTTAAACTTGTACTTTTACTCCCTCAGTCCCGGTCCACGCCGAAGTCGCCCGTGTGACTCCGCCCTCTCTGCTGGTTCCTCTCAGAGACGTTCTCGTGGCTGAAGGACGCACCGCCAACTTCCAGTGCGCCGTCTTTGGAGATGGTCAGTACCACCACAGTCCGGTTCTGTCCTGGTCTGGTCCTGGTTCGGTACTGGTTTCAGTCCTGGTTCAGTCCTGGTCTGGTCCTGGTTCTGTCCTGGTCTGGTCCTGGTCTGGTCCTGGTTCAGTCCTGGTTCAGTCCTGGTTCAGTCCTGGTCTGGTCCTGGTTCGGTCCTGGTTTCAGTCCTGGTTCAGTCCTGGTCTGGTCCTGGTTCTGTCCTGGTCTGGTCCTGGTCTGGTCCTGGTTCAGTCCTGGTTCAGTCCTGGTTCAGTCCTGGTTCTGTCCTGGTCTGGTCCTGGTTCAGTCCTGGTTCAGTCCTGGTTCTGTCCTGGTCTGGTCCTGGTTCAGTCTGGTTCCTGGTTGGTTCAGTCCTGGTTCCTGGTCAGTCCTGGTTCAGTCCTGGTTCTGTCCTGGTCTGGTCCTGGTTCAGTCCTGGTTCAGTCCTGGTTCAGTCCTGGTTCAGTCCTGGTCTGGTCCTGGTTCAGTCCTGGTCTGGTCCTGGTTCTGTCCTGGTCTGGTCCTGGTTCAGTCCTGTTTCAGTCCTGGTCTGGTCCTGGTTCAGTCCTGGTTCAGTCCTGGTCTGGTCCTGGTTCTGTCCTGGTCTGGTCCTGGTTCAGTCCTGGTTCAGTCCTGGTTCAGTCCTGGTCAGTCCTGGTTCAGTCCTGGTCTGGTCCTGGTTCAGTCCTGGTTCAGTCCTGGTTCAGTCCTGGTCTGGTCCTGGTTCAGTCCTGGTTCAGTCCTGGTTCAGTCCTGGTCTGGTCCTGGTTCAGTCCTGGTTCAGTCCTGGTTCTCTGGTCCTGGTTCAGTCCTGGTCTGGTCCTGGTCAGTCCTGGTTCTGGTCTGGTCCAGTCCTGGTTCAGTCCTGGTCTGGTCCTGGTTCAGTCCTGGTTCAGTCCTGGTTCAGTCCTGGTTCAGTCCTGGTCTGGTCCTGGTTCAGTCCCGGTTCAGTCCCGGTTCAGTCCTGGTCTGGTCCTGGTCTGGTCCTGGTTCAGTCCTGGTTCAGTCCTGGTTCAGTCCTGGTCTGGTCCTGGTTCAGTCCTGGTTCAGTCCTGGTTCAGTCCTGGTCTGGTCCTGGTTCGGTCCTGGTTCAGTCCCGGTTCAGTCCTGGTCTGGTCCTGGTTCTGTGTCCTGGTCTGGTCCTGGTTCGGTCCTGGTTCAGTCCTGGTTCAGTCCCGGTTCAGTCCCGGTTCAGTCCTGGTCTGGTCCTGGTTCTGTGTCCTGGTCTGGTCCTGGTTCGGTCCTGGTTCGGTCCTGGTTCAGTCCTGGTTCAGTCCTGGTTCAGTCCTGGTCTGGTCCTGGTTCAGTCCCGGTTCAGTCCTGGTTCAGTCCTGGTCTGGTCCTGGTTCAGTCCTGGTCTAGTCCTGGTTCAGTCCTGGTTCAGTCCCGGTTCAGTCCTGGTCTGGTCCTGGTCTGGTCCTGGTTCAGTCCCGGTTCAGTCCTGGTTTAGTCCTGGTCTGGTCCTGGTTCTGTGTCCTGGTCTGGTCCTGGTTCGGTCCTGGTTCAGTCCTGGTTCAGTCCTGGTTCTGTCCTGGTCTGGTCCTGGTTCAGTCCTGGTTCAGTCCTGGTCTGGTCCTGGTTCAGTCCTGGTCTGGTCCTGGTTCAGTCCTGGTTCAGTCCTGGTTCAGTCCTGGTCTGGTCCTGGTCTGGTCCTGGTTCAGTCCTGGTCTGGTCCTGGTTCAGTCCTGGTCTGGTCCTGGTTCGGTCCTGGTTCAGTCCTGGTTCAGTCCTGGTTCGGTCCTGGTTCAGTCCCGGTTCTGTCCTGGTCTGGTCCTGGTTCAGTCCTGGTTCAGTCCTGGTTCTGTCTGTCCTGGTCTGGTCCTGGTTCGGTCCTGGTTCAGTCCTGGTTCAGTCCTGGTCTGGTCCTGGTTCAGTCCTGGTCTGGTCCTGGTTCAGTCCTGGTCTGGTCCTGGTTCGGTCCTGGTTCAGTCCTGGTCTGGTCCTGGTTCAGTCCTGGTCTGGTCCTGGTTCGGTCCTGGTTCAGTCCTGGTTCGGTCCTGGTTCAGTCCCGGTTCTGTCCTGGTCTGGTCCTGGTTCAGTCCTGGTTCAGTCCCGGTTCTGTCCTGGTCTGGTCCTGGTTCGGTCCTGGTTCAGTCCTGGTTCAGTCCTGGTCTGGTCCTGGTCCCGGTTCAGTCCTGGTCTGGTCCTGGTCCTGGTCAGTCCTGGTCTGGTCTGGTCAGTCCTGGTTCTGTCCTGGTCTGGTCCTGGTTCAGTCCTGGTTCAGTCCTGGTTCTGGTCTGGTCCTGGTTCGGTCCTGGTTCAGTCCTGGTTCAGTCCTGGTCTGGTCTGGTCCTGGTCCTGGTTCAGTCCTGGTTCAGTCCTGGTCTGGTCTGGTTCAGTCCTGGTCTGTCCTGGTTCGGTCTGGTTCAGTCCTGGTTCAGTCCTGGTTCTGTCCTGGTCTGGTCCTGGTTCAGTCCTGGTTCTGTCCTGGTTCAGTCCCGGTTCGGTCCTGGTCTGGTCCTGGTTCAGTCCTGGTCTGGTCCTGGTTCAGTCCTGGTCTGGTCCTGGTCAGGTCCTGGTCTGGTCCTGGTTCGGTCCTGGTTCAGTCCTGGTTCAGTCTGTCTGGTCCTGGTCTGGTCCTGGTCAGTCCTGGTCTGGTCTGGTCTGGTCGGTCTGGTCCTGGTCAGTCCTGGTCTCTGGTTCAGTCCTGGTCCTGGTTCAGTCCTGGTCTGGTCCTGGTTCGGTCCTGGTTCAGTCCTGGTTCAGTCCTGGTCTGGTCCTGGTCTGGTCCTGGTTCAGTCCTGGTTCTGTCCTGGTTCAGTCCCGGTTCGGTCCTGGTCTGGTCCTGGTTCAGTCCTGGTCTGGTCCTGGTTCAGTCCTGGTCTGGTCCTGGTTCGGTCCTGGTCTGGTCCTGGTTTCCTGGTTCCCTGGTTCAGTCCGGTTCAGTCCTGTCTGGTCCTGGTCTGGTCTGGTTCAGTCCTGGTCTGGTCCTGGTTCAGTCCTGGTTCAGTCCTGGTCTGGTCCTGGTCTGGTCCTGGTTCAGTCCCGGTTCAGTCCTGGTCTCTCTCTTGCAGACTTGTCGGTGTCGTGGTTCTTAAACTCTCGTGAGCTGCAGGAGTCGGTGGACGTGCACATGTCTCGCTCAGGTGAGACGTTCTACCTGAACGTGTCCAAAGTGCAGCTCGATCACGAAGGCGAAGTCTCCTGCGTCGTGTCCAACGCCGCCGGAGTCGTGAACTCGGCCGCCACGCTCCACATCGACGGTGAGAACTGCACCGAGACCGGACTACTACTGGTCTGGGTCCAACTGGTCCTGCTTTAGTCCTAGTTTAGGTCTGGGTTAGTCCTGGTTTAGTCCTAGTTTAGACCTGGGTTAGTCCTGTTTTAGACCTGGCTTAGTCCCAGTTTAGTTGCAGTTTAGTCCTGATTTAGTTCTGATTTAGACCTGGTGTAGATCTGGTTTAGACTAGGTTCAGTCCAGTTTTACACCTGGTTTAGTCGCAGTTTAGTCCTGTTTTAATCCTGGTTTAGTCCCCGTTTGGTCCTGGTTTAGTCCTGGTTTAGTCCCGGTTTGGTCCTGGTTTAGTCCTGGTTTAGTCCCGGTTTGGTCCTGGTTTAGACCTGGTTTAGTCCCGGTTTAGTCCTGGTTTAGACCTGGTTTAGTCTTGGTCCAGTCCTGGTTTAGACCTGGTTTAGTCCTGGTTTAGTCCCAGTTTGGTCCTGGTTTAGTCCTGGTTTAGTCCTGGTTTGGTCCTGGTTTAGACCTGGTTTAGTCCCGGTTTGGTCCTGGTTTAGTCCTGGTTTGGTCCTGGTTTAGACCTGGTTTAGTCCCGGTTTGGTCCCGGTTTAGTCCTGGTTTGGTCCTGGTTTAGACCTGGTTTAGTCCCGGTTTGGTCCTGGTTTAGTCCTGGTTTAGTCCTGGTTTGGTCCTGGTTTAGACCTGGTTTAGTCCCGGTTTGGTCCTGGTTTAGTCCTGGTTTAGTCCTGGTTTAGTCCTGGTTTAGTCCTGGTTTGGTCCTGGTTTAGTCCTGGTTTAGTCCTGGTTTGGTCCTGGTTTAGACCTGGTTTAGTCCCGGTTTGGTCCTGGTTTAGTCCTGGTTTAGTCCTTGTTTGTTTCCAGATGTCTTTGTTTGTTCTTATCGTCAGTAGGAACATTCGCCCAATCACAGCTCCTCTGTCCTCACGAGGACAGTTCAAAAGGACACTAGTCTCTGAGTAGAGACCTAAGACCTGGGCTGAGACCTAAGACCTGGGTCTAGTCCTGGTCTAGTCCTGGTCTAGTCCAAACAGAAGATGAGACTTTGCAGAAGGACTGAAGGAGACGTCTTTAAAACATCGTCTGAGACTCGGAAAATCATGTTTTTGTGGAAATGTCCTTTTGTCTTTTTACCCCTCCTCATCCCTCTCTCCTCCTCCTCCTCCTCTCTTCCCTACTCTCTTGTTTGCTGTCATTTGGTTTATATGTGATAAGTTCCTTCTCCTCTTCTCCTCCTCTCTCCTCCTCTTCTCTCCGTCGTTGTAACTCTGTCTCTGTGTCTCTCTTGTCGTCAGTCCCGCCGTTGTCTTCTGAGGTCTCTCACTTTGAGCTCAGTCAAACCTCTGGATCGTTCGAGGCGTCTCAGTCTCAGAGCTGCACTTCGGTCTCTGTGGAGCACGTGGAGCAGAACCTCTTCTCCTCCTCGATCTCTTCCTCGATCTCCTCCTCGGTCTCCTCCTCCGTCCTCCACAGCTCTTGTCTGGAGACCTTTAGCTCGGAGCAGATCTTTGGAGCGGCTCCTCGTCTGGTGGAGGACATGGAGGACGTGTGTGTCTCCGCGGGGGAGGAAGCCCGCTTTCAGTGCTCCTTCGTGGGCTTCAGCGCCGTGGAGTGGGCCCATAATGGCGCCGGACTGGTCCCGGACTCAGACCGGGTCCGGACCTTCGGCTCCGGTCCCGGCGTCGGTCTGGTGATCGCGGCGGTGAGGCCGGACGATCAGGGCGTGTACCGGTGCACGGCGGCGAACGCTCACGGCAGCAGCTCCGCGTCGGCTCGTCTCACGCTCCAAGGTCAAAGCTGATGTGTGTTCTGTGTGACCTTTGACCTCCTCATCACGTCCTCTCCACCTCCACCGTCTGCTCCATCAAACCAGGCACCATCTGTCCTCCTCCTCCGTCCCTCTGTCCCTCTGTCTCCTCATCACGTCCTCTCCACCTCCACCGTTTGCTCCATCAAACCCGACACCATCTGTCCCTCGTTTCATTCCCACTCCTCATGTCCATGTCTGCGTCCCTCTGTCCACTAACCTCTGTTTCCTCCTCCTTCCTCCATCGCAGGATTTTAAGATTATAAGATGATAACACATCACTTTATCACTTTATGACAATAAAACACATCATGAACATTTAAACACAATTACTTTATAAGACTGGAATATTTATATTTATATTTATATTGGAACATTTTATGATTATAACTCATCATGAAGAAGGTTTTTAATCCTTTAATCCTTTTATTGAACAGAAAACTTTATTATTTACTTTCATTATTTACAAACGCACAAATGAAACTGTGAATAAAAATCATTCAGTTCAGTAATTATCAGTATCAGTATTTGAAATATTAAAAAATACATAAATACAATTGGAAATTTCACCTCCTCAGTGCTGCCCCCTGCTGCACAACCATCTAACCCCCCCACCCCAGTGTGCCCCGTGTGCCCCCTGCTGTTCACCCTCTGTACCCCCGTCCTGTCTGGGTGTCTCTGCCCCGTGTGCCCCGTGTGCCCCATGTGCCCCCTGCTGTTAACCCTCTGTACTACCGTCCTGTCTGGCCCTGACTGACTTCTAACTTTGTCCCACCCAGATTTGCGACCAACCCTCTCTTCAGAAACCCCCATTTCTGCCGATTCTGTCCCCCAAACTGTCCCCAAACTCTCCGCACTGCACGGGGCTCTGCGGGAATCTAACCCACAACCAACTGAGCCCAAACCAGACCCGGACCACGTCTCCGTCCTGGAGGAGACCCTGCAGAGGTGGCTCTTCTTCCCCGATTCGGAGCCTCCGCGTTGGGCAGACTTTGTGGTGAAAGTGCCCCCGGAGCTGCTGCGGCGCTCGGGGGCAAAGCGGGCGTCTGCCGCATTAATGCTCTGGTTTTACAATCGGATCAACACGGACGACTTTTACGCCAACGGTCTGGGGCCTAAAGGTCTGAACCTGCATGGCTCTTTTAGGAAGTCTTTTTTTCACCAAAACCTTCACCAGTAAAACGCCGACACTTTAAGGACTGTTTCACTCACTCCGAGAAGCAGGAGCAGAGAAAAGCATGGCAGACTTCACCAAACCAGCGCCAAACCAGAGGAGACGCGACGGCACCGAGGGCACCGAGGGCACCGAGGGCACCGAGGGCACCGAGGGCACCGAGGGCACCGAGGGCACCGAGGTCACCGAGGGCACAGTCAGATCAGAGGCTAACCACTCTGCCACTCTGCTTCAGTGACGTGTGAACAGGCAAAGACTGTAAACCTCTGAACTAAACCAGGATTAAACCAGGACTAAACTAGGACTAAACCAGGATTAAACTAGGACTAAACCAGGATTAAACCAGGACTAAACTAGGACTAAACCAGGACTAATCCAGGACTAAACCAGGACTAAACCAGGATTAAACCAGGACTAAACTAGGACTAAACTAGGACTAAACCAGGATTAAACCAGGACTAAACTAGGACTAAACTAGGACTAAACCAGGACTAAACCAGGACTAAACTAGGACTAAACCAGGATTAAACCAGGACTAAACCAGGACTAAACCAGGACTAAACCAGGACTAAACCGGGACTAAACCGGGACTAAACTAGGACTAAACTAGGACTAAACCAGGATTAAACCAGGACTAAACTAGGACTAAACTAGGACTAAACCAGGATTAAACCAGGACTAAACTAGGACTAAACCAGGACTAAACCGGGACTAAACTAGGACTAAACTAGGACTAAACCAGGATTAAACCAGGACTAAACTAGGACTAAACCAGGACTAAACCAGGATTAAACCAGGACTAAACTAGGACTAAACTAGGACTAAACCAGGACTAAACCAGGACTAAACTAGGACTAAACCAGGATTAAACTAGGACTAAACCAGGATTAAACCAGGATTAAACCAGGACTAAACTAGGACTAAACTAGGACTAAACCAGGATTAAACCAGGACTAAACTAGGACTAAACCAGGACTAAACCGGGACTAAACTAGGACTAAACTAGGACTAAACCAGGATTAAACCAGGACTAAACTAGGACTAAACCAGGACTAAACCAGGACTAAACTAGGACTAAACCAGGACTAAACTAGGACTAAACCAGGACTAAACCAGGACTAAACCTTTGGTCACATTATACGTTCTCCTGTGCCTCACCGCCGCTCTGTGATTGGCCCGTGTGTGGTGATGTCATCTGAACGCCGCAGTGGCCTTAAAAACATCAGCCTCTCGTCCCGGTCTGTCCTCGGAGCCCGGTGCCGTCCCGTCTCCTCTGGTCCACTTTGGCCCGGTCCACTTTGGCCCGGTTCTGTTTATATGGAGCACGACTAACCGCGTCCTGCACCATGATAAACGCGTGTGGATTTTTACGACGATTTTAACCTGGTTTTCTGTTTTTTTTTTACAGTGACTGAAGTGGAGGGAAAACCGTTGGCCCAGGTGCCCGAGGCTAAAGGTACGTCTCTCAAGACCAAGAATGTTCCGTAATGTCTTTTTACAGCTCCTGCAGCGCAAAAACGATTTAGAATTTTAAATCCTGCTGAATTTTTTTAACTCTGAAAAAACAACGTTTGAATTATTTTTTATTAAAAATGTATTTTTATTTAATTTAATTTTAGTTGCTGAAATTTTGCTGTAACTTTTCAACATGTTTTAAATTTAAAATAAAAATTTCACCTTTTAAATATTCAGCACAGATATTTTCAAATCCTCAAATTCAACAGTCAAAAGTGTGAACTAAACTCACTATGCTGAAATAAAATCCATCTTAAAAATAATTCAAACATGTTTTACAGAGTTAAAAAAAGTGACAAATTCAACGGCGTTTAAAATTCTAAATCTGAAGGAACAAATTATCTTCCATAAACACGACTTAAAGCTCAGAAAAGTCCATTATTTTGTGTAGACTGAATGTAAAATAATTTCACTTGAAGAGGTTTTCTGCAGCGTTTAGACGGAGTGGGACCAAACACACAACACGTCTTTAAGTGCCACAAGTGTGTGTAGTATTGTGTAGTATTGTGTAGTACTGTGTAGTACTGTGTAGTACTGTGTAGTATTGTGTAGTACTGTGTAGTACTGTGTAGTATTGTGTAGTACTGTGTAGTACTGTGTAGTACTGTGTAGTACTGTGTAGTACTGTGTAGTATTGTGTAGTATTGTGTGTGTATGATGCAGATGTTTGAACTGTGAATGTCGTACTTGTGCAAACGTCCTTTAACTTATATTTTTTTTACAGACAGTGTGATACCAGAAAATAGGGCTGCACAATTTATAAATCAGATGCCCTCCCCGGGTACAGAGGACCGGGCTGTGTGGAGAGTGGGGGGTGAGGGGCTGGGGGCGACATTCGGACACAGAGATCGGTCTGGATTTCAAAACTTACATAAAAATATAAATTATTATTCGGTGTTTCCATCTTAAATTGTGCAGCCCTGTCAGAAGCTTAAGCGTGTTTCCTGTTTCAGTGTCTCTGTCTCTGCGTCTTTTCTCTCTGTTTGTGTCTCTGTGTTTGTGTCTCTGTTTTTGTCTCCGTTTGTGTTTCTGCGTTTGTCTCTGTCTTTGTGTCTAACCTTGGTTTCGTCTCATCAGTGATCGACCCCAAAGACAAACCCGACCCTCGGCCCAAACGCGTCCCCTCGTCTCTGGAGCGAAAGAGAGAGCGACCGTCCTTCCTCGCCGAACTGTCCCGTAGCGTCTCGGCGATCTCTGGCGAATCGTTCAGGTTCAGCGTCCGCGCCGCCGGATTCCCCAAACCCACCGTGACCTGGTTTCACGAGGGAAGCAACATCAGCTCCTCGTCGCTGTACGAATTCACTCACGAGAAAGAGGAGTTCTGCCTCGTGATCCGTGAGGTCCGCGAGGAGCACGGCGGCGAGTACATGTGCACGCTTAGCAACAGGTTCGGACAGGCCACGTGTAAGTCCTATTTAAACGTGGAGGTGAGAGAGACGGGTAAACCGCCGCTATTCACCAAAACCATTCAGAACGTGCAGGTTTCCGAAGGAGCCGAGGCCGTGTTTGGTTTTGTCGTCATGGGAACGCCGCTTCCCGAAGTCACATGGTTCAGAGGAACAGCTCAGCTTCACCCGAGTGCGCTCTGTGTGATGGTGGCAAACGCGGACGGCAGCGGGTTTTTGACCGTTAAAACCGTGAAAGCCGAAGACGGCGGTATTTACGTGTGCAAGGCCGTTAACCCGTTTGGTGAAGCGTCGTGCAGCGGCGAGCTCCTGGTTCTGGCAAAGAGGAGTTCTGCGCTGAAGATTTCACTGACAGGACAAAGCGAAACGCGAACGAACCGCGAGCGTTCGGACCAAATGATCTACACCATCAGCACAGACGACCGCCAGATCATACAAAGCGAAGAGGTGCAGGCGCTAACTGGCGTGGACGTGTTGGCGGCGACGCTGCACAAAGAAACGCTAACGCAACAAGCTGCGGTGCTACAGTCTCACGCGATTCAGGAACGTGTGTCGCCAGTGCCGCCCAAACATCCAGAATCCTCCATCGCGACTCAGGGAAAACAGCTGCGGGTGTCGACGTTCGTGTCCTCCATCGAAGAACAGCAGAAGATTCTGGAGCAGCATTCGGAGAGGATCCTGAGTCCAGAGATCTCTGAGGTTCGACTCCTGAAAGAGGAGAGATCTAAACTGATGTCCGCTTCATCTGAGGAGGTGGTCCCTCTGAGCAGCGTGAAGGCCGAGCTGCTCAAAGACGTCGCTCCAGAAAAAACAAACACCTCCACGGAAACGCGCCACATCCTGAGCTCGGCGCAGGTCACGTCCGCTTTACCGATTCAAGACGAGGCGCTGGGGAAGGTGCATCGTCCCCTGGAGGAAACCAGCTTCAGAGTCACAGAGGGGCTAAAGATTTTGTATTCAGCTCAAACTTCAGAACAGATGCTGCTAACGGAAAGTCACGCCGAGACGATTCGAGAAGCAGATAAACCCATGAAGCCTCAGATTCAAAAAGAGGCGCTTAAAACGACAGTGGCCCCGGTGAGTCAAACCCGGACTGAGCTTCACAAAGAGGAAGTGTTTGACATGTTCAGACCAGAGCAGGAGAAAGCCGCTCATGTGAAGGACTTAGATCTCAAATCTGCCGCGAATGTGGAGGAGAGGCGTGAGATTCAGGCCGAACAGCAGGGGGCAGTGCAGAGTCTGGAGACAGGCGTGAGTGTGCAGGTCCAGAAGGAGGAGGAGAGGGTGCTAAAGCTGCAGGTTAGCTCCAAACACGACGTCTACGAAGCCGAGGGGAGGTTTAGTGCTGAAAAACCTCATCTGGAGCAAGCCGAGGCCAGGAAAAGTCCAGTGATTTTACAAGCGGTGACACAAGACGAACAGCGGACTTTAGTGTGCGAGAAATCAGACGAGATCGGCGAAAAACCGAATGTGGAATCGGCTCTCGTCATGAAAGAGTCGCGGCAAAAGAAACACGTGCAGTGTGTCCATTCTCCGACCGTTTTACCGAAAGAAGACATAATAAAAGAGGCAAAAACTGAAGCATTTACTGCAAATTCTAAAGTAGAACGGGCTCGGAAAAATGCAGCAATTTCCGAAGAATGGCGAGAGCTAACGGCGGAGCGCGACGAAGAGCTGAAAGTCTCAGTTTCAGGCGTTAGACCCGAGATTCGTAAAGAAGCGAAACCGGTAAATGTGCTTCCTGTGTCTGTTTCTGCGACGCAATTGTCCAAAGAATCTCCATTCGTTAGCGACGTGAAGCAGCAGCGGGCATTAGTGCAAAAAGAGGAATTCTGGAACATTCTACAGCCGCTGAATGTGACGGAGACCCGCGCTTTAGAGGAGGGGCATACGGATGACATCACGGCAGAGGCAGAGTTTAAACCTGTCGTCAAAACTGAGCCAAAAATTCCCAAACGTCCGATTTTTATCGAGGAGAAAGCGGTGGCGACGGAGAGCTGCGTGGTTTTAGACGCGGCCGAGGAGGATTATGCGTTTCAGATCCAAGAGGGACAGGAAGTGCGGCGGTCCGTGGTGTTGGAGGAGAGACGGGTGCTTCTGGGAGAAAGGTCTGAGGAAATACGGAAATCTGAGGAGCAAAACGTGAGCGCCGTCGAACAAAAGAAAGATGTTTTATTTGTGCATGAATCGCTGGACTCTGCAGCGCTGCTTAAAGAGCTGCATTTCCACGTTCAAATCCCCAAAACGTCAAAGGGAAACCTGAGGCAGCAGGTCAAAGAGGCGCTACGGTCCGCCGTCGCACAGGAGCAGCGTGTCGTTCTAGCCGACGTCGTGAACGCACTGAAACCGACAGAAATACAGGAAGTGCGCATCAGCAAACAGCCACAGCACGCCACGTTCTCTTACCTCATCACAACACCGGGGCACCCCATTGAGATCGTGCTCACCTTAGACAGCGAGTATACGCAAAAAGCAGAACTCAAATCCGAACTGCAGGTGGCGCTACACGCTTTGCTCTTCCACGATCAGAAAAGTCTAACGTCCGAACAACCGCGCGGAATCCAACCTGAAAACAAACCGCAAAAGGCAAATATCGCCACAGAAACAATGAAAAAGCAGGTGCAGTCGACCGTGGTGAAGGAGCTGACGATCGAAGAGAGCGCGGTGACGTTACGGAGCGAAAACGTGCAAAAGGCCAGGCTCAAAACCGAAACAAAGGCATCTTTTCAAACTGCGATAAAGCTCGAGCGCGAGGAGTTCATCTCTGAGGCCGTCATCATCGGCGAAATGTCGGAAACTGTGTCAGACTCGCCCGTTATCGAAGACCCGTTACAGGACGTGTTCGCTGAGGAAAACGGAACAGCTGTGTTTAAATGTACGGTCAGAAACGCCACGAAAATGACGTGGTTTGTGAACGGCGACGAGGTGGCGCCGGGCCGAGGGCTGAGGAGCACCAGGGACGGAGACATGTTCTGTTTGGAGATCGGAAAAGTGTCCAAAGCGAAAGACGGAGCAAAGGTGGAGCTGCAGGCGAGGAACCAGAGAGGAACAGTCCAGACCACGGCTCGACTGACCGTGGTCCAGAGAGGTTCTGACCCATCCACGCCTCATGGTCTAACCTCAGTCTGTGGAACCTCAGACCCAGACCTTGAAGGACCACAAATCAGTGTCGGTCCCGGGTCAGTCCCCGGTCGGTCCAGAGTCGGTTCTCTGAGGTTCCACAGATGTTCCTTCACATTCCACTCTGGTGTTTGTTCTTTTCACCTCATCCATTCCACAGGATCCACCAGAAACTGCTCCATGATTTCACTTTTACCCATGTTCACCTGAGCCTAACCCTGACCTTTAACCCTGACCCTTAACAGTGACCCTGACCTTTAACCCTGACCCATAACCCTGACCCTGACCTTCTGCTTAACCGTCTCACTCTCATTTTCAGCTTCAGATCTGAAACACCTTCTGTCCACAGCTCATCTCCATCAGCACCACTCAAGAACTTATGTGGAATTATAGACCTGGTTTAGTCCTGGTTTCTTTCTGGATTTAGACCTGGTTTCCTTCTGGGTTTAGACCTGGTTTAGTCCTGGTTTAGACCTGGTTTTATACCTGGTTTCCTTCTGGATTTAGACCTGGTTTAGTCCTGGTTTAATCCTGGTTTAGTCTTGGTTTAGTCCTGATATAATTCCACATTTCTTGAGCTGTGAACATTCCTTTCTTCATCCTTTCTTCTTTTTCTTCTTCTCTTTCTTTCTTTTTCTCTGTTTACTCAAACTCACTTCCTTCCATCTTCCACGTTTCCAGTGAAGCCCGTTTTCCGTCACCGCATTTCTCCGGTGGAAATAAACCTTGGAAACTTGGCGAAGTTTGAGTGTGAGACGGAGGACGCTCCGAACGTGACCTTCAAATGGTTCAAAGACGGGAAGCAGCTGAAGGAGGGCGAGAGAGTCCGGATCATCAGCCGTGTGAGCTCCTCCTCGCTTGAGCTGCTCAGCGCCGCCAGAGACGACGCCGGCGAGTACGTGTGCCGCGCGTCCAATCAGCACGGCTCTGACGAATGTTCCGCCCCCCTGCACGTCACAGGTAGGACACGCCCACCCACCTGTCGCACCTGAGAAACACTCTCAGATAAACTTTGTTCCTACATTTTGATTCAAATATGAAACGATCTTTGGTGTCGTTCTCTTTTCTTTTTGTTTTGTTTTGGTGTTTCAAATGGTGCAGTCGTGTTTAAAGTGAAGAAAAAACAGCTGGTTTCTTCTGGTTTTGGTGTTTTTGGTGATTTAATGAATCATCATAGTTGGATTTTTGGTTTTAATGTGACTTTATGACACGGCAGACGCTGGTTTATATGATTCTGGAGAAAGTTCTGGTGCTGGTTTGCTCCTCTCCTCTCTCCTCCTCTCTCCTCTGCTGTTATTTCTCCTCTGCTGTTATTTCTCCTCTGTTTCTGACCCTCTGCTGTTTCTGACCCTGTAGAGAAGTGTGCTCCGGTCTTTGTGTCTAAGCCCGACAGTCCCCAGAGTGAGTTTGTGGGCCGACAGGTGCAGTTCACCTGTGAGATCAGAGGCTCCGCCCCTCTGTCTGTGCTGTGGTTTAAAGACGGCGAGCCCGCTCAGGCCCGCAGCTCGTTTGAGGCGGGTAAAGCGTCTCTGGCGCTGCCCCGTGTGGAGGCGGGCGATGGGGGCGTGTACGTGTGCAGAGCCTCTAACCCTCTGGGGCAGGCAGAGTGCGAGGTGGAGCTGAGCGCCGTGGATAAGCCGCGGTTTGTGTCGCCGTTGCCGGCAACGACAGCAGCAATGGTGGGCGCGGCGCTGCTCCTGGAGTGCACGGTGGATGAGGACCGAGGCGTGAGCGTGACCTGGACTAGAGACGGGCGAAAAGTGCACCAGTCTCCGGACTGTAAACTCTCCTTTGAACAGAAAAAGGTCACGCTCCATATTCTGAAAAGCACGTTGAAAGACTGCGGCGAATACATGTGCACCGCCTCCAACCAGGCGGGCAGCGCCACCTGCCGCGCCAGCGTCAAAGTACAAGGTAAGAGTGTGAGCTTCAGTGTGAGGCCCCGAGCTGCGACGGTGCCCACGCTGCCCGTGCTGCTGGTGAACGGGCTCTGCCCGCTGCTCTGTTTAAACTGTGTTCTCCTGCAGCTGCAGTCACAGCGTCTGCGCAGGCGAGAGCAGCGACTGCGCAGACGCTCTCACATGTTTCTCTTTTTTAATGTGTCAATCTTTTTGTGTGAATCTTTTTTATCATGTTCCTGTTTCATGTTTAAATTCAAATCAACTTTTCTGTAGTAACTTCTCTTCCCCCCTGTGTATTTAGTACATGCACTTAAACTTTTATATTTTATACTTTTATTCTTTATACTTGTACCATACTTGGGCCATGTACTATACTTATACTTTTATACTTGTACTGCTGCGTTTGAGTTCAGGGCCGGGGGTTTTGGGGTTTGTAGTTCCTCCTGTAGTTTGTAGTTTTTATTTCGGTGAGTAATTCCCAGTGTGGCTTCGGTGTCTCTCGCTCCTCTCCGATCACGTAGAACCGCCGGTGTTTGTGAAACGCCTGGAGAGCGCCACCGTGTGGAAGCAGGGCGCCACTGCCCGCCTGCAGTGCTCCGTGAAAGGCTCCCCCGAACTGAAGGTTCTGTGGTTCTGTAACGATTCAGAGCTCAGACCTGGAAACAGAATCTCCACGAGCTTTAAAGAGGGCGTGGCCACTCTGGAGCTCCAGCAGGTGGCGCTGTCAGACAGCGGCACGTACAGCTGCGAGGTTCAGAACGACAGCGGCTCTGAGCTGTGCAGCACCAAAGTCACCGTCAAAGGTACGAACGCTTTAACGCTTCAATCTGAGACAGAAAATCTATCAGAAAATCAGTTTTTGTCCCTAATTTGTGTGGTGGAGTTTCGTCCTGGTTTTGTCTTGGTTTAGTCTCGGTCCAATCCTGGTTTAGTCCTGGTTTAGTCCTGGTTTAGTCCTAACAGTCCCTGGTGTCGCTCAGAGCCCCCCGTCTTCTCGCGGCCCCTTCGGAGCGTGGAGGCCGTGCGTGGCGCCGTGGCCCAGCTGGACTGCGCCGTCTCTGGGTCGGCTCCGTTCGAAGTGTCCTGGAGGAGGAACAAAAAGCGCCTGGAGTCAGGGCCAAAGTTCCGGATCGTGACTCTGGGGGCGCACTCATGCCTGGAGATCCGCAGCTTCGAGAGCGCGGACGTGGGCGACTACGAGTGTGTGGTGTCCAACGAGGTGGGCACGGTGGCGAGCACGGGCAGCGCCAGGCAGAAAGGTCAGTGGGAGACAGATGGGCAAAAGAGACGACCGTGTGCAGAGAGAAAACTAACGCCGCGCTCCATGAGTCCTCGGAACTCAGAACGTTTCCTCCGTAGACAATATAAAGAAGTGGACATGCTCTAGGTAGGATCCTTATGTTCTAGGTAGGATCCTTATGTTCTTGGTAGGATCCTTATGTTCTAGGTAGGATCCTTATGTTCTAGGTAGGATCCTTATGTTCTAGGTAGGATCCTTATGTTCTAGGTAGGATCCTTATGTTCTTGGTATTATCCTTATGTTCTAGGTAGGATCCTTATGTTCTAGGTAGGATCCTTATGTTCTAGGTAGGATCCTTATGTTCTAGGTAGGATCCTTATGTTCTAGGTAGGATCCTTATGTTCTAGGTAGGATCCTTATGTTCTTGGTATTATCCTTATGTTCTAGGTAGGATCCTTATGTTCTAGGTAGGATCCTTATGACCTCGGTAGGATCCATCACAAAGAGAAAATGTATCCATCTTTAGTCCCTGTGGTCCAGATCTCAGTCCTGGTCTTAGTCCTGACAGTTCCTGATCTAAAATCTAGACCAGACCTAGGTCTAGACCAAAATCCAGACCTTTGTCTCTAACTTGTTGGTGTGGTGCAGTTTAGTCCTCTCATTCCTGATTTCGGGTTAAACAGAAACTTTGATCCAGTGTTACTTAATTAACATTTCCAAAAGTTTTAACCTCCGAGGACGACTGGAGCGTACGGCGAGGCGGTTGTCACGGTAACCTGTAACCAGAATGACGTGCGGTGAGGGTGGAATTCAGACAAACTCCTTAGAATTTTCCCTTTAAGACTTTGATAATCAAGGTTTTATATATTTGTACTTTATCTAATGCTCATGTTCTACCAAAGTCACGTTCTACCAAAGTCACCTTCCACCCTCCATTGAACCTGCACCGGTCCGTCTTTTGCCCGTCCGAAGAGTTTTAAGTTCCACCCAAATGTGTCCTAACCCTGTGCCGCCGCCCGTAGAACCTCCCATGTTCTCGAAGCGTTTGGAGAGCGCGACCGTGGTGATGGGGAATGCCGTTAAACTGCAGGGCACCGTCAAAGGCTCCGCCCCCTTCTCTGTAAAATGGCTGAAAGACTCTGAGCTGCTCAGAGACGACGACTCGAGCGTTACCATGACGTTTGACAACAACACGGTCGCCATTTCATTCTCCTGCGCCGAGTTGAAACACGGAGGGAAGTACAGCTGCGAGGTGGAGAACGAGGCCGGGCAGGCCAAGTGTGAGGCGCACCTGACGGTCCAAGGTACAGCCCTGACCTGAGGGGAGGGGCTAAGGGGCCAAGGGGGAGGGGCAAAGGAGCTGAGGGCGCTCTGGTCTGGAGGGCGGGGTTACTCATCATCAGAAGAACATATTTTACATGTTTAATCGAACTCGATTCACAGGACGCTTCTGGAAAGTGGGACTGTTATGGAAGCCCGTTTCTTCTAGTAAATAAAAAATAAAAGCCTCACAGAAAGTTTTTAACAAAAAAAAAAAAGTTTTAAGCTTTTAAACTATAACTTTGATGAGTTGGTTTCTGTGAGGTTTTTATTTTTTTTAATTTACTGGGGAAAATGGGCTTCCGTAAACTGTTGCTGTAGTAGAAATTTAAAATTCTAATCCAAATGGCGTCCGGCTCTTTGCTCTGTTCGCTCGCACACGAGCGAGTCAAGGCCAAACCTGAGGCCCGTTTGAAAACAAAAGTACGATTCACTTTAAGTATTCGGGCGCAGACGGACTGGCCTCATTCTCCTGACGTTCCTGCAGAACTTTTCCTCAATCTAGTTTCTTCTGAAAATCTCAGAGCCCCAGACGGTCCACAGCAGCTCCCTGGAGGGCCACGTTTGGCCCACGGGCCCCACTTTGGGACCTGCTCTGTGGACCCCTGCACCGACCAGAGCCCCTCAGGTCACACTCAGGTCATAGGTCAGAGTCAGGTCATAGCACAATACAATCACATCTGTAACTGTATTTAACATTGGCTCTCTGGACGCCCTCGCGCAGAGCCGGCGCGTGTCCTGGACAAAGCCGCCTCCATCAGCGTTACCACGGGCGACACGTGCACGCTGCAGTGCACGGTGAGCGGCAGCCCCGAGCTCCTCACCAAATGGTTCAGAAACGGCAAAGAGCTGAGCCAGAGCCGTAAATATAAATGGAGTGTGAGAGGAAACACGGCTGTGCTCAAAATCACAAACACCGAAACCAGCGACAGCGGAGAGTACGTCCTGAAGGTCCAGAACCGGGTCGGACAGGACCAGAGCGTCTGCACCGTCACCGTCAGCGGTCAGTGACACCCGCATGGTTTAGTCTGGATTTAGACCTGATTCAGTCCTGATTTAGTCCTGGCACAGTTCTCTTTTAGTCCTGTTTTAGCCCTTTTTTAGACCTGGTCTAGTTCCTGTTGTAATCCTGTTTTAGTCCTGCTTTAGTCCTGTTTTAGTCCTGCTGTAGTCATGGTTTAGTCCTGGTTTAGTCCCTGTTTGCTCACGGCTCTCTCCTCCCTCAGACAGAGCAGTTCCTCCCTCTTTCCCCAAAGCGCTGCAGCGCGTGGCTCAGGCCGTAGGGGGCGCCGCGGTGCTGGAGTGCCGTGTGGCCGGCTCGCAGCCTCTGACCGTTTCCTGGTTTAAAGACGGTCAGGAAATCTTGCCACACGAGCGTTTTTCCGCCGAGTTCCACGAAAACACGGCGTCGCTCACAATCCGAGGTCTGACCATGAGCGACAGCGGAGAGTTCTGCTGCCGGGCCCAGAACCCGGCCGGAACCAACCAGACCTCCACACAGCTCTGCGTCACAGGTCACTGCAGGCCCGGGGAGACCTGGTTTAGTCCTGGGTTAGACCTGGTTTAGTCCTGGGTTAGACCTGGTTTAGTCCTGGGTTAGATCTGGTTTAGACACCTTGACTAGACTAGTAGTTGTAGTAGTAGTAAGTAGTTGTAGTAGAGGTAGTAGTTGTAGTATTCATAGTATTTGTAGTATTTGTATTATATCACATGACCCTGACGTGTTTGTCGGCGTTTCGTGTAGAGCCTCCAGTCTTCTCACTCACGCCTGCCGCTCAGATCAGCGCCAAACCTGGCGCCGATGTCGTTCTGCGGTCGGAGTTCTCAGGCTCCGCCCCTTTGGCGGTCAGGTGGTTCAGGGAGCAGCGTGAGGTTTTCCCTGGCGCCAAAATCTCGATCCGGGGAGAGGTGCTGGGCGACGGGTCCTGGTCCTGCCTGGAGCTCCACGGCGTTCGACCCGTCGACTCCGCCTCCTACACCTGCCAGGTGTCCAACGAGGGCGGGAAAACACTGTGTAGCTCCGCCCTCAGCGTGCAAGGTGTGTGATGTCACAGTCACATGATCTGCTCCTGGGTCAGGGGTCACGTCTTAGGGGTTAGGACACGACTGGCACAGATCCGGCTCTGATTCAGATTAAACTCTTACAGCTTCAGTCTTTTCATCTTTTCAAACTCTTCAAACGTTTCTGTTGTAGATCATCGTCTCATTTGAATTAGGTCCAGTCTTTGTCTTGGTTCAGTCCATTTTTAGTCCTGGTTTAGTCCTAGTTCAGTCCTGGTTTAGTCCTGCCTTAGTCCTGGTTTAGTCCTGGTTCAGTCCTGCCTTAGTCCTGGTTCAGTCCTGCCTTAGTCCTGGTTCAGTCCTGCCTTAGTCCTGGTTCAGTCCTGGTTCAGTCCTGGTTCAGTCCTGGTTCAGTCCTGGTTTAGTCCTGCCTTAGTCCTGGTTCAGTCCTGGTTTAGTCCTGGTTTAGTCCTGGTTTAGTCCTGGTTTAGTCCTGGTTTAGTCCTGCCTTAGTCCTGGTTCAGTCCTGCCTTAGTCCTGGTTTAGTCCTGCCTTAGTCCTGGTTCAGTCCTGGTTTAGTCCTGGTTTAGTCCTGCTCTCGGTCTAACGTGGTCCTTTGTGCACTTCAGAATCTCCTCACTTCTCTCTCAAACTTGAGCCGGAGCGTTTGGTCCGTTTGGGGCAGAGCCTCAGTCTGTCCTGTAAAGTCCAGGGCTCTGTTTCCACGGTAACCTGGTCCAGAGACGGGTCCGTGTTAGTCCCGGATCATAACCGGACTGAGAGTTTTGACGGGACCTTGGCGTCTCTGAGCATAGATCACTGCTCCGAGCAGGACAGTGGAGTGTACGAGTGTGAGGCCAGCAGTGAGGCCGGGTCAGACCGGACCAGCTGCCACGTCCAAGTCCAAGGTCAGTCCTGCTCCTGGTTTAGACCTGGTTTAGTCCTGGTTTAGTCCTGGTTTAGTCCTGGTTTAGACCTGGTTTAGTCTTGTAGTTGTGTAGCAGTTGTTTTGACATAAACAGACTCTGGTTCAGTTGTGTTCATATGTCCAGCGCCCTCACCCCTCTCTGTCTCTGTAGCGCCCCCTGTCTTCATAAACTCACCCCTCTCTGTCTCTGTAGCGCCCCCTGTCTTCATAAACTCACCCCTCTCTGTCTCTGTAGCGCCCCCTGTCTTCATAAACTCACCCCTCTCTGTCTCTGTAGCGCCCCCTGTCTTCATAAAGCCGTTTGAGTCGGCAGAGTTTGTGAAAGGAGCTGAGATGGTTCTGTGTGCCGAGGTCTCAGGCTCTGAACCTTTTGAGATGAGTTTCTATGTGAACGAGAAGCTTCAGAGGAGCGACACACGCAGAACGCTCAAAGTGGAGGACGGTAAAGTGACGCTCCGCGTGAGCGAGTGTGACAGCGCCGACAGCGGTGCCTACAGAGTCCTCCTGACCAATCAGGTTGGAGAATGCAGCTGCACCAGTCATGTGACCGTCACAGGTCAGTCACCTGAGTTAGTCCTGCTTCAGACCCTCTTTAGTCCTGCTTTAGACCCTCTTTAGTCCTGCTTCAAACCCTCTTTAGACCGACCTGCTTTAGTCCTGCTTCAGACCCTCTTTAGACCTGGTTTATTCCCTCTGTAGTCCTGGTTCAGACCCTCTTTAGACCTGCTTTAGTCCTGCTTCAGACCCTCTTTAGACCTGGTTTATTCCCTCTGTAGTCCTGGTTCAGACCCTCTTTAGACCTGGTTTATTCCCTCTGTAGTCCTGGTTCAGACCCTCTTTAGACCTGCTTTAGTCCTGCTTCAGACCCTCTTTAGACCTGGTTTATTCCCTCTGTAGTCCTGGTTCAGACCCTCTTTAGACCTGGTTTATTCCCTCTGTAGTCCTGGTTCAGACCCTCTTTAGACCTGCTTTAGTCCTGCTTCAGACCCTCTTTAGACCTGGTTTATTCCCTCTGTAGTCCTGGTTCAGACCCTCTTTAGACCTGCTTTAGTCCTGCTTTAGACCCTCTTTAGACCTGCTTCAAACCTTCTTTAGACCTGCTTTAGACCCTCTGTAGTCCTGGTTCAGTTCCCCTGCAGTCCCTCTGTGGTCCTGGTCCTTGGTGTCTGACTTCCATGTGGCCTCCTCCAGACCCCCCCGTGTTCGTGGACGTGCCCGAGGACGTGAGCTCGTCCGTGGGCTCGGACGTGAGCCTCAGGGCCTTAGCGTCTGGATCTCTGCCTCTTTCTTTCATTTGGACCAAAGACGGCGTCGAGCTGCGGGAGGACGGCCACTTTAAGGCCTCCGTCGATAACAAATGTTCTGTTCTGAACATTAGAGACGCACAGCCGGCCCACACGGGGACCTACGTGTGTGAGGCACGGAACCGGGCCGGGTCCCACAGAGTCCAAGTCCTGGTCCAGGTCTCAGGTCGGTCCCTCTTCTGTCTGTGTCTGTCTCTGTCCGAGTGTGTGAGAATGTGAACACAAAACTCACACTAAACACACAACACAAAGGACCAGGAGGACTTTGGGCCTGCTTTAGTCCAGGTCCAGACCTGGTCCAGTCCTGGTCCAGTCCTGGTTTAGTTCTGGTCCTGAATGCTTGGAGTGTCTCTTGTGTCTCTGTGTTTCTGTTTAAGCGGTTTGACCTTTTAAATTCAGCATTGAAGTCCTCAAACTTTAGTCCTGGTTTAGTCCTGGTTTAGTTGAGGTTCAGACTAGTTCTGGTTATGAGTTTCAAATGTGTAAATGGTTTGTGAGTTACAAGTGGATATCAGTCCTGGTCAAGTCCTGGTTTAGTTCTGGTCCTGAATGTTTGGAGTGTCTCTTCTGTGTTTCTGTTTAAGTGTTTTTTGTGTTTTTTTAAGATAATGTTGTTAAATCTGTTTTTAGTCTGGTTTCATTCAAATCCTTAAATTTGTGGTGTGAGTCCTGGTTGAGTCCTGGTTGAGTCCTGGTTGAGTTCTTTTTCTGCTCTGCTGTTGGTTGGTGAAATAAAGATCGCTGCTGTTACTGATTTGGTAAATGTTATTTTGTTTTTGCTGTGTGGTTCATGCTGTTCTCTCTTTGCAATGTTCATTTCTTTGTTTCTAAAATGTTCTCACGGTTAAAAACACGTTTTCACGGTAAGTACCAAGGTCTCACGGTAAGTTCTGGCTCATGATTGATTTTTATTTCCGCTGAAAACTGATTCTGAAATGTTTTGAATGAACTTCTGCTGCTGATCTGGTTTAAAATCTGATCTTTATGTTTAAATCTGAATTTTCTCTCCTGGTTTGGTCATTGTGTGGTCGAGTCTTTGTCTAGTCCTGGTCTAGTTTTTGTTTAGTCCTGTTGTAGTTCTTGTCTAGTCCTGGTGTAGTCCTGGTTCAGTCCTGGTTTATTCCTTGTTTAGTCCTGGTTTAGTCCTGGTTTAGTCCTTGTTTAGTCCTGGTCTAGTCCTTGTTTAGTCCTGGTCTAGTCCTTGTTTAGTCCTGGTTTAGTCCTTGTTTAGTCCTGGTTTAGTCCTTGTTTAGTCCTTGTCTAGTCCTTGTTAGTCCTGGTCTAGTCCTTGTTTAGTCTGGTCTAGTCCTTGTTTAGTCCTGGTCTAGTCCTTGTTTAGTCTGGTTAGTCCTGGTTTAGTCCTGGTTTAGTCTTGTTTAGTCCTGGTTTAGTCCTTGTTTAGTCCTTTAGTCCTTGTTTAGTCCTGTCTAGTCCTTGTTTTAGTCCTGGTTTAGTCCTTGTTTAGTCCTGGTCTAGTCCTTGTTTAGTCCTGGTCTAGTCCTTGTTTAGTCCTGGTCTTAGTCCTTGTTTAGTCCTGGTTTAGTCCTTGTTTAGTCCTGGTTTAGTCCTTGTTTAGTCCTGGTTTAGTCCTTGTTTAGTCCTGGTCTAGTCCTGTTTAGTCTAGTCCTGGTCTAGTCCTGGTCCTGGTCTAGTCCTTGTTTAGTCCTGGTCTAGTCCTGGTCTAGTCCTTGTTTAGTCCTGGTCTAGTCCTGTTTAGTCCTTGTTTAGTCCTTGTTTAGTCCTTGTTTAGTCCTTGTTTTAGTCCTGGTTAGTCCTGGTTTAGTCCTTGTTTAGTCCTTGTTTAGTCCTGTTTAGTCCTTGTTTAGTCCTGTTTAGTCCTGGTTTAGTCCTGGTTTAGTCCTTGTTTAGTCCTGGTCTAGTCCTGGTCTAGTCCTGGTCTGGTCTCTGGCTGTTGTAAAGTTCTCATTCATTTCTAAACGTTCTGTAGTTTTCTCAGATTTAAAACGTCTGATCGGAGCATTTATATAATTTTAATATTATTACAGAATTATAATTATATATAATTATAATTATAAATATTTACAAAATATATATAAAACTTTTTATTTGTCATGACTCGGTGATTCTTCACAAACCGCGTTCGTCCTCCAGCTTCAGCTTCAGCTTCAAAACAGCCGCTGCTTCTGCCTCATTTATTAACACAATATTTTAATTTCTGTACATGTTACATTTTACTGTAGCCCCTCTTTAGTCCTGGTTTAGTCCTGGTTTAATCCTGGTTTAGTCCTGGTTTAGTCCTCTTTAGTCTTTTTCTGTCTGTGTATTTCTAAAAACTTGATTTGGTATTTTACAGTCAGATCAATAATCATAATTTAAACTCTTTTCGTGAAGATGCAATAATCCGACGTCACGTTTGTCGAGTTTTAAAAATATGAAATGATGAGATCCGTGTCGTCCTCGTCTTTGTGTCTTTTTTCTGTTGGAACTTCAACATTTTTCAGTTCAGTTTTTCTCTCGAAGCTTCACTCTTTTTTTCTGACTAACGCTCCTCCTCTCCCCACAGCTCTACGGCGCCCCCTCTCGTGCTCCCTTCACACGCTCCTAACCTCTAACCTCTGACCTTTGACCCCTCTGCAGAGCCTCCAAAGTTCGTGGTGAAAATGCCGACCTCTTCGTTCGTGAAGCAGCGTGAGGGGCACCGCTTCGAGTGCCGGGTCGTCCCTCGCGACGTCGAGATCCGCTGGTTTAAAAACGAAACGCAGATCGCGGACGGAGGGAGCTACCGTACGGCTCTCCTCGACTCCACGGCGTATCTGCAGCTCACGACGACGCGCGACGGCGACAGCGGCGTTTACACCTGCGAGGCGAGGAACCGAGCGGGCGTGGCCAAGTGTAGCTCCGTGCTCCAAGTGCAAGGTCAGACGGGGCGCAACGAAACACGCCCCGGAAACCACAGACTGTGTGTGGAAACGGACAGAGCGTAACCCCCGAGTCACCCGCTCACAGGAAGTGAGCGTGGGCCTGATTGGGCTCCACAGACTCTGGCGCCGGTGAATTTGCCACTTTAACCACCGGCGTCGATCAGACCTCAGTCCAGTTCTTCACACAGTCTGCGGTGGAATCGAGTGGAAATCGTTTGGTCGTCGTCCTGCATGACCTTTGACTCTCTGGCATGTCCGTGTGTCGTGTGGTCCTGTCGTGTGGCCCTGTCGTGTGGCCCTGTCGTGTGGCCCTGTCGTGTGGTCCCTGTCGTGTGGCCCTGTCGTGTGGTCCTGTCGTGTGGCCCTGTCGTGTGGCCCTGTCGTGTGGCCCTGTCGTGTGGCCCTGTCGTGTGGCCCTGTCGTGTGGCCCTGTCGTGTGGCCCTGTTAGAACCTTTTCAGTATCATCTTTATTCACGTTTACGTCACAAACCAGGATGATGTTTGGAAACGTGCGATGACAACTTCCTCTGTTCGACAGGGTTCCCATGGTCATGGAAGTCCTGGAGATGTCACAGAAATTGAAAATGTAATTTTCCAGTCCTGGAAAAGTCATGGAATTCTATAAATTCAATGAAAGTTTTGGAAAAGCTGTGGCATTGTAGTCTCTTTCCCGCAGCTCCAGTGTTTTGTTAAGTTCTCATGAGTCTGTTCTGATTATTTGTGAACGTCGACAGTAAATGCACTGACAGGATTTAGAATGTTCAAAAACTATAATCCCAAACCATAAAGGGAGTGGAAAGAGTTAATATTTCAGATTTAGACCTAAAAGTCTGATAAATTCTACACATGTAGGTGCTGTAAAATCATGGAAATGTTTTGAAATGTTGTCAGTGAAAAAGCGTAGGAACCCTGGTTCGTGGTCATAAGTCTGTCAAAATGTAGGAAAAATTAGAAAATGTCCCAGTTTTGTTCGTCTCCATGTCATTGTCACTTTCCGTTATGTTTGTTTAATCGACAATTCCAACCGTCCCTCAGTTTTCCTCATTTCCCGCTGACACACCTCTGAGCGCGCTGGGTACATGAGACTAGAGGAGACCAGATGATTCAAACAGCACAGATGTCTGCAGGCTTCATTTTACCGCTGAGCACTTTTATTTCAGTGGGTTTGGTCACAGTTGGTCGAGCCCAAAGTCGGAAACTACACCGGAAGTTTCATCGCAGGTTTCCAACCGTTTTCCTGGTTTGTGACGTAACGTGAAAAGAGACGATTGTATCTATAAAACAAATTGAGGTGGTGTCCAAAAATTGTACTCGAGTAAAAGTCAGAACCGTTATTCAATTAAAAAATGAGTCCTGTAAAATATGCTGCTAGAAAAGTACTTCTTTACTCAAGTAAACATGAGTTACTCCTTCCTTTGAAACAGCTCAAAACTAAAATGATGATGATATTTTTGGATCTGGCGTTGACTCTCTGTGTCTGTAGAATGCTCTCTGTCGTCTCGTGCCCGTCTGTTTCTGTGGCATGGACCCAGCATGACCCAAAGTCCCAGTCCTCGTCCGAGTCTCAAACCCAGTCCTAACCTGGTCTTGATCCCCAGAACCCCCGTCCTTCACCAAAAAGCCGGCGCCGGTGGAGGGGGTCGTCGGTAAAGAGATCAGTCTTTACTGTGAGTTCTGCGGGTCTCCTCCGTTCATCGTGAGCTGGTACAAGGACCAGCGCCCCCTGCAGGAGAGCCACAAGTACAGGATGGTGACGGAGAGCAGGTGCAGCACCCTCCACGTGATGTCGCTACAGCACAGCGACGAGGGCGCGTACGAGTGCAGAGTGTCCAATAATGTGGACAGTGACTCGTGCAGGGCCAAAGTCTCTCTGCGAGGTAAAAACGACCACAAACATCCTCCCCCAGTCTGAGTCAGGACCCGATCTGAGTCAGGACCGGGTCTGAGTCAGGACCGGGTCTGAGTCAGGACCGGGGTCTGAGTCAGGACCGGGTCTGAGTCAGGACCGGGTCTGAGTCAGGACCGGGTCTGAGTCAGGACCGGGTCTGAGTCAGGACCGGGTCTGAGTCAGGACCCGATCTGAGTCAGGACCCGATCTGAGTCAGGACCGGGTCTGAGTCAGGACCGGGTCTGAGTCAGGACCCGATCTGAGTCAGGACCGGGTCTGAGTCAGGACCGGGTCTGAGTCAGGACCGGGTCTGAGTCAGGACCCGATCTGAGTCAGGACCCGGTCTGAGTCAGGACCCGGTCTGAGTCAGGACCCGGTCTGAGTCAGGACCCGAT